GGAAAGAGATTAGCACGTTCACAACGGCACAAGAGATGACCTCCATGAGCGCAGAAAGTCACCTGCTTCACAACCCCACTTTTTGTACCGAGAACAGGCACAAATGTCCAAGTGCACACATGGGATCACATGTGTTACAGCGGAGGGGGACTCCCAATGCCAGCAGCTCCGCCAGGGCCACCAGCGGTCACTTGAAACATAAAACCAAGAGGCTCCAAAGCGGGACAGCGACCGTGGACTCCAGCCCTGACCGCGGCTGCAGTCGCTGGAGGAAGCTTTACCTGCCACCATCTAACCAATGTTTCCCCAGGTTCGATCCTGGAGAAGGATGCGTGCGTGGGGAAAGCAGCCCAACAACGCCTTCTCCCCCGGCTCGCTGCTCGAGGAACCAGGTCAGAGCAGGGGACGAAGCCCACAAGAGACCAAGCCCCTTCTCCCCGTTAGATGCCACCAGACTTACAAGCAACTGGGGCCAAACAGGGCAGAACCCGCCAACCCCGAGCCCCGGCTCCGGGGCGCGGGGAAGCCGCCCCTGCCCGTCCCCGCAGGCACCTACTGTTCACACACTGGGTGAGGATGAGCTCCAGCTCGTCCTTGGGCCGGTGCTTGGTGTCCTCCACCAGGCGGTACACGCGGTGGCGCCGGGGGTGCAGGCGCGGCGCACGCCCCACCTTGCTCAGTGGGACCTGCCACCACCGCTCCACCACCACCGTGCCCTGGGGGCGAGACACAGGGGTCAACGGGGGGCGGGCGGACGGCCTGCCACCCCGCCAAGGGAGACCCCAGGGGGCACCACCCCCCGGGGGGGGAAGGACCCTTGATCACCCCCCCAAGAGAGGGGCACCACCCCCGGGAGGATCACGACCCACCCTGCTGGGGACGCAGGCGAACGGCGCCAGGCCCCGCTGGAGCAGCCCCCCACCCCACTCCAGCGCCCGCCGTAACATGGCGATCAGTGCGCATGCGCCGCCGGGCGGCGAAAGAACCCGGCGCGCGCAACGGAGGCGACAAAGGACCCAGCTCGGGGCTGCCCCCGGCGCGCCTGATCCGCCCCGCCCACAGCAGGCCTCTCTGGGGGCACCCCCGAGGCGGGAGCGGGAGGGGCCGGTACGTGCTCCCAGTATCCTGCCTCGCTGCAGCCGGAGCCCATTGCTCCTTGTCTGCCCCTGCCCCGCGGGGCCGCCCGCTCCTCCTCTTGGCCACCCCCAGCGGGGAGCTGAAGGCCGCTGTCAAACCCCCTCCTCTCCTCTTCTGCAGACTCAGCCAGCCCGCTGCCCCTCGCCAGTCCTGTCCCTCAGCCCCACGGCCCTTGTCGCCGCCTCCACTGGTCCCTCTCCCATGTGTCCGCATCCTTTCCGTAGCGGGGGCCCAAAACGAGACGCAGGACCACAGATGTGGCCTCCCCGGTGCCGAACAGAGGGATGAATCGCTGCCCGCGATCCACCCACGACGCT